ATTCTTGACTAGTTTATAATGCCGCCAGTGTATTGTTATAAAATAAGATGTTGGCTGTATGTTAAAGATGAATATTCTCTTTTATGTCAGTGAATTATCATGTTATTCTGAGCTTATTATGCAAGTTTTAAAACCCAAAAGAGTTTATGAAATTTTATCAAAGTATTTTCCATATCTGTTGAATGTTTATGGGTTTATTCTGCAACCTGTGTATGATTTATTCATAGGAATTATATACAAGAATTCTTAGGACAATCTTTAATATTTCAGGGTAAATTATTATTTTAATATAACCTCAATTAAATGTACTAATTTCTTATTCAAACTTTTGCATCTATACTAAACATTTTTAGGTTTTTCTATGAAGGTTATCCTGGCATTCTCAAGTGAGTTGGAACATTTTTCATGTTTTTTTTTCCATGCACAAGAAGAGTATGCGCCACAGGAATGATTTATTTCTACAGTTAAAAAGTACTCATTACTAAAACTGCAGCTGCCTTGAAGGTAGTTATTGAAAACTTTAAATTTCAATTCTTCAGTGGATATCGGTCTCTTTAGGTTTGGCCCACGACTGTTTTCCTTTGTTATCCTTCCTCATTATTAAGATTTTCAAATTTATTAAGCTAATTTATTTACGCTAATACTTTTAAAAACATAATCATCTTTGAATCTGTTATTAAATCCTTTTAAGATTGCATATTCTTTCTTATTTCTAATTTATTTATTTGTTTACTCCTTTTTTCTTTATTAGTTTTGCTAGAACTTTCATATCATTGTTTGTTCTCATTCTTTTGGAATTCAGTACTGTAGTTTATTCACCAATTTTACTACTTTCCTGTTTTCTCATGTATTAATTTATGTATTTAATTTTAATATTTTCTTCTCATTTTGCTTAGATTCTTTTATTGTTCTGTTTTCACTTAAATTGAAGTTACATTTGGTGTTATTATTTAAATTGTTTTTTTTAGTCAGAATAAAAAATAGTTCAGGATGCATATTTACCTTCAGACACATCCTGTAAAGTTTGATGAGTTTAGTCCTATTTTCAATATTTTAAAACAAGTTTGTAATTTTACCTTTGATTTTTTTCTCATAGATAGCTATTTAGGAAGGCATTTGTAACTTGCAAAGTGTTTGAGTTTTCGATTGTTTAAACTTTCAAAAAAAAGTTGTTTAGCTGCACTGTGGTCTGAGAATGTAGCCTCTATAATTTTTGATTTGGGTGGACATTTGAGTGGACATTTGTTGTAACTGTATTTGTTGAATTTTAATAAGTTATATTAATCTTGAAAATAATGTACATGCATGTATACTTTTTCTGTTCTTAGGATAGAAAAGTCAATATATCAGTAGTTTCAAACTTACGAATTATGCATATTAATCAAATAACTATTTATTCGGGGCTAACAGAGGTGTGTTACGTCCCCTGTAGCAAGATGGTTTCTTCTTCGCATTTCTAGTCTTTCCAGCATCCTTGCTCTATATGCACACTGGTGTTGGCTTCCTCCGCTTGTGCAGTTGAAGGACCATTGCTCCCTTGTGACATGTGTCCTTGTTGGTGGGTGATGACCTTTTGGTCACCATGAATACCTTCGTCTTTTCTGAAGTTAGTATTCCTTCTTTCCTTCTGTGAATGCCTGATGTATATTTCCTCATTCTTTTATGTGTAACTTGTCTGTATCAGTGTGTTTTAGAGTCTCTCTTAGAAGTATCATGAGGGTCAATGTTTTTAAACTGGATCTGAATTGTTTTTGCCTTCTATTAAGGAGTTTTCAATTATTCAAATTAGTATTATTATTAATATGTTTACTCACATTTCTTTTATCTTGACTAGTGATTTTTCTCATGTTTTCTTAGTAATATTGCTTATGTCGTATGCTTCTACACTCTCTAGTATTTGTTGTTTAATTGTATATATTATCTTTGAATTTTTCAAAGTTGTACTGTAATTCACATTTTTAATTATCGGGATTATAGAAGAAAAGATAGGTTTTTGACTCCCTTCAAACAAAATGAGGAATTTAGCTCAGTTTCCTTCTCTGCTTTTTTCCTCATTTTCGTGTTTCCCTTACTATAATCTACAAGTTTAGACCCAGATAATTATCATTAAGTTAACATTTTACTTGCTATGTTACCTCCTGTTTTGTAACAATATCGGCACTAGTTCTTGAGATTGTCTTTCTTTTGAACTGGTTGGACGGACACCATGACTCCCTCTGCTTGAGGTCTTCGTTAGGATCCATCTCTTGGTCAGCAGGAGCACAGCATCAACCTTTGCAAGAGACACACATGGATAGTTCATGTTCTGAGCTCCTGCAAACCCGAAAATATCTTTCTGTTTCCTTCATACCCCGAAGGTCAAATTCTCTGGGAACACAGTGCTTGAAACTTTTACCCTCACAATTTTTGCCTTACAAGATGTTGCTACGTTGATTTCCATAATTTTGTTTGTGGAAAATACAGTCAAAAATAGCATGTGGTTCAATTTTATTAGAAGTCATTAATTCTTTTCCTTCCTGAATGCTTAAAATAAACCTTCCTAATCATTGAATTCAAAGTTTTTTTCCAGAACATAACTCAGTGTGGTTCTATTTCTTCTTTTTTCAATAATGTTTTGCCTTGAATATGGTGAACACTTTTTATCTTAATATTCATCTTTTCTACCCAAAAGTGTGTTTTTTCTTTTTCTAGAGATTACCAATACTCTTGGATTGAGTTTTGGTTCTCTGCCTTCCATGACTATTGTCTCTTTTCTTAGGATTTTCATCTTTTCACCATTTTCCTCTACCTTCTGAGAAAACTACTCAAGTTTGTCCTTAGGATCCTTGATTTGATTTTCCATAGTGCAAATTTTGGGGTTTATTGCTTTTGTTGTGGATTTAATTAAACTACTGAATATTTTAAATATTCAAAAATGTATTTAAATATCCATTATTTACTGATGGACATTAGGATGGTTATCAGATATTTGCTATTACAAATTGCTGTATGATAGACATTCACAGATAGAACTCCTGGCACATTTAGATAAGAGTCTCTCTAGGATTAGGTACATGTCTATGAGTGGAATTTCTGAGTTATAATTGCAGTTTTGGTTTTCTTGTATGTCTTTTGTTTGTCTTGTAATCATGTCGTACTTTCGTTGCTTTCATTCCCCTTATAAGTTTCTGCTCCTATTTCATAGAGAAAATATTTTCTTGCATCCTATAAAGGATGACAAGTATCATTTTAAAGTAGTTAAAGTAACTTTAAGAGATATGTTTTTAATATAGGAGTTGAGAATTATGTTCCTTTTCCTTTTTCCTTCAATTACACCATTTTAAATTTATTGTGGGTTTGGGTTTTTTGGCTCTACGCACGCTTAAGTAAATAATCATATTTTTCTATGCAAATGGTATGTCAGTAGATCTTAGCATCACCATTTTCCCACCATTAGACAGGCTAATACAGTAGCTCTTAGTGCAATTGTTACCATATGTTCTAATTGACAATTCTAGTGGCTTATGATGGAGTCTTCTTCCTAAACCTCAATTCCTAACATTCCGTCCATCTAGAAAGTTGTGGTACATGAAAAATTAACATTCCCAGCATGCTCTTCTTTCAGAGCTCCTCGTCTCTCTGTCGGTTTTGACACCCTGGAGATTCTGCCGGGATTCTGGCCCGGGTTTCCTTGAGACGCTTGGTTTCTTTGCATTGTATTTTCATCTTGTTCTTTAACTTTAAGCAAATTTGGGTGAGAAGTTGGGAAAAGCTTCATCAGGGGTCCTAGCCAGATTCCCCTTGAAAACAGGACCCTCTGTATATCTCAGACAGATCCTTCCAGGCCAGAGAGACTTGCTGTTGCCCTAATATCTCGAGTTCTGGAGGGCACTTTGGAATTATGTATCTATATTGCTCAATTAAGTAATCAATGATGAGAATGAATAATTCAAAGAATTGATCATCACACACACACCGGTTTTTCTTTCTTTTTTTTTGAGCTTGGTGCTTCCTGCTGACCTAGTTCCTTAGAAAATCACACAACACTTAGCTGGCCGTGCAGACCTTCCTGCACTAACAAGGAGTGCCATCTGTCGATGCGCGTGATTCACTCTAGTATCAATCCTTGATCGTTTTGTGGAACTCAAAGCACTTGACAGTTTTATTTTGTTTTTAATCTTTTTAAATATCTCGGAGTCACTGTAAGGAAAATTTAAATCATTCCCGTCTTACGGATGACCAACGTGAGGAAAAAAGCACTGGAATTGTGATGGAAAGTCACTCTAAAAATTAACAGTGTAATCCAAGTCGCATGGTCTTCGGGTAGCTGGTGTTTTCCATTCCTTAGCATCTGAGCAGCCTTCCCTGTCGTAATGGGTTTTTATAACTCTGTGAAGTGCATCCCTGGCCAGCGCTGGTCCCTCTGGGAAGGTGGTTCTCTCTGCAAAGCACACCTTTACAAGTGCACCTTGAGGAGCAGTGGGAGGAAAAGGTTCCTTGTCCAGCTAAGTGTGACATCCTCCCGCCTGCCATTTTAGGAATAATCAATAATATCTATTAAATATTTTCATTCAATAAGCTGGCAGGCATTTTAGTGATCTTTACATGTCTTTGATTAGAGAATAATTTAGTTGTTTGCATTCAGAGGAGCCTGGCTTGTCCAGAAAATTAGAAAGAGGTCTTAATGGAGACCTGTCACAACAGAGGAAAAAATATGCAAAAATCTCTGAACTTCTGTTACATTTCTAAAAGTTTTAGTATTTTTTTTTTAGTGATTTATGCTTTGGAAAGATACATGTATCTTTGCTATTTTATGGCTCCTAAATAAAAAGACTTCATTAACAAAGGGTATCTACACTTTCCCACTGAGGAACAGAAAGAGGTGTAGGAAAACATACGGTAATATTAGTAAGACTAACAGAAACAACTCATTTTTGTTTAGTTACTATGTGTCAAGTTCTTTTCTTCCTTTATTTTCTACCCAATATGAGATAGCTAACATTATCATCTTCATTTTACAGATGAGAAAAATGACGATAAGAATCCTTCCTAAGACCTTAGAGCAAGTGGATTTGGGGCCAAGTGACACCCAGTGCTGAGGCCAGCGCTCACACTTTCTCCACCAGGCCGTTCTCCCCCAGAGTGAGCCCAGAGATCTTTCAACCCTGCTTTATAAGCCAGGCTCGTACGTTTAGCCAACTAATTCTTGGTGGATGAAACAGTGCTCAGTTCACATGGGAGAAATTAGCAAACCACTTGCCAAAAGGGCAAATTCAAGAGAAAATAATAGTGCTAACGGGGACGTGCTTCTTGAGATTAGTTCAGAAGTGCTCTGAGACGCCCTCCACATTCCTTCGTTCATCTCACTCCCCTGGGATGTGCCCAGCGCCCCTAACCTTGGCTTCCGTGGCCTCCTCAGTGGCCCCCACAGCGGGAAATGTTATGGAAGAGGGCCGAGCGTGAGCACAGCCAGCTGGCAGCAGGAAACTCCAGGCACAGTGTGCGTCCCCTGTGAGCTTCCATTGCAGTTGTTCTTTGGCACAGACAAGTCAAAAGCTCAGCTGGCTGTCTGCTTCTTGAGGGATGACAGCTCTGCAATGTTCCAAATGTCCAAACACAACCAACCAGACTAGTCTTCGCGGACTTTGAGCAAGCTTAGTGAGTGAAAAATGTAAGCCGTGCTTGGGTCATAGGTTGCTGAGAAATAAAATCACTAGAATCGGCCAGAACAATCTTCTTTTTCTATGGCTTTGGGTCTCCCTTGGGCCCAAGGGCTGAGGGACAAGGCCCTCAGCGCAGCCGTGTTGTCTTACAACCATGCTCAGAAGGGCTCTGCGGCTCTGGGCTCAGAGATGAAGTCAGGGCGGTCACCTGGCATCTGAGACGCTTCAGGTTCGGGCTACATCTCTTCCAGCCTCGTACCTCACACATGCCAGTCTGCGCTTCAGACGCTGCTCAGCTGGCACAGCCACTCCATTGTCTGACGGGACGTGCATCCTGATTGGTTGGCGTTCATGCTTTGATGGGCCTTAAGTCTTCCAAATGTCAGCCCTTTTCCCACATATGCTTCATACTTTTAAAAACGAAACCCTACTTATTTCTTCTACTAGCCTGTATGCTTCTTAAGATCATGATTCTTTCTTATTCCATTTTGTATTTGCCATAATGGCCAGCACTTTCTGGGCCCATAGTAAATACTAACTAAATGTGTGGTATGAATCAAAGACTGATAAGTACTGGGAGAATATACCTCTGTGCTTCTTATCTTTCCCTGAGAAGGGAAAACAGTCATGGGCGGACTAGCCTGAGAAGGAATCATGTGTATATGTCCCAATTCTGTTGGCACAGAAATTCCCAAAGCCTATGGGAATGCAGCGAGAAATTGTGAAACCGTGTCCTGTTTCTTAGTGGGCAGGGAGCAAAGAGAACCTCCTCAGAAGCTCAAATAGTTTCTGTGGAAAAGGGAAAAGTTAGGCCAATATACAGGATCCAAGGAGAGAAAAAATTAGAGTTCCCATGACTGAGAAATATCCAAGATTTTGACTCAGGGATGATACCTGGGCACCATAGCTCTAATCTCCATGACAGCAAACATCATTGTCTTCCCAGGTGCCAAGAAAGGAAGGGAACTGATAAGTAAACAATATCTACCAGTTCCTCTTAGAAATGTTTTTAAAAGTCGATGTCAGACTTCAGTGCCAGGCTACGTGAACTCAAGTTCTGGTTCTACCATCCACTCGCTGTGCTATTTTGTGCCTCCATTTCCTCACAAGTTAAATTGGAATAATAAAACTACCTCATAGGATGGTCCAGAGGGTTACACAGTAAATAAATACTATAAAGTACTGAGAGTACAGGCTAGTATGTAGCAAATAGCATATAAACATTTATTAATCAGAAATGTGAACACCTTTCTCAAAAAACATTGTTTTATGTGGTAGTTCATTGCAATTTTAAAGGCACTAGAATGTTCATAGTAGTCCTATCATAGTAACTCCAAACTGAAAAGTACTTCAATGCCCCTCACATTAGAATGGAAGAAGAAATTGTGGTATGTTCACAACGGCAGCCCATAAGCAATGAAAAAAAGACCCACTACTGCTTGCAACAGTATAGATGGATCTCACAAATATTATATTAAGTCAAAGAAGCCAGACACACAAAAAACACATACTGTGATTCCACTTATGTAACGTACAAAAACTGGCAACACTAATCTGTGCTGTTAGAAATCAGGATAAGTTACCCTCTTGTATGGGAAGGCTGCTGGGTGCTGGTAATGTCCTGTGTCTTGGTCTGGGTGCCGGTTACACAGGTGTGTTCAGTTTGTGAAAATTCTTCAAGTATTACTTTTATGATATATGTATTTTTTGTGTGAATAGTGCACTTCAATAAAAAGTTTAAGAAATGATTCAACAGTGAAATAAAAGCAGAACCTATTGTAATAATGAGTTGATGAATGATCATAGATTAACATGTCAGCCAGGAAGGTAATTAGAAAGATAACCAGTAAAATCTTTGGAGTATGCAGATGGAGACCTGATTTGGTTTGGTTAGAACCGTAAAGTAAAATTTGCAAGGCTTTCGGCTGCTGAATTGTAACGAAACCCATAGTTGACGTTATAGGTGAGTTTTCTTTCCCTCCTTTGTGGCCATTTCAAATTTGTATCTCTTTTACTTCCCCTGAATATTGCAATTTTACTTGACACAGGTTCAAGTGGTACAGTGGCCCTGGAGAAGTCACAATCCTGTGACAGCTGTCTTCTGCTTCATTCTATCCTCCCCACTCAGCACCGTCACAGCCCATCTCACAGGCTCACAGTGGGATCTCCCTCCTCTCCTGAAACTGCCTCCCTGACTGTCCTTGTCTCTTAGGGGCCTCTTAGCAAAACACTCCCTATGCCCAGTCAATGGCCATCCTATATTCTTATAACCACCATAGAAATACAGCTAAGGAGTTATTTATTATCATTAAAGCCACTAAATGCCTTTCATTTGGCAGCATTGTTTATCTTACAATAAGCAAGTTAGTAGGTAGTTTCTTTCTTCTCTTTTAAGAACCTTGTAGTTATCAATGCAAATAACTCAGACATCCAGAGAATATTGAATTAGTTGATGAGTTATTCTGGTAATTATATAACGTATTAATATGTTCAAGAAAGAATGTGTCTGTGAAGGAGTGACTTCAGGGATTTCAAAGTGTTGTATCGTTAGACAAAGGGATGGCAAGGAGGGTCTGCCAGTTTTGTGTTAAAGTTCGACTTCTTGGAGGAATTGGCCATTCAGAAGAGGCTGGAATGAAGGAAGGCTGTGGGTGACGGAGGGATGCAGAGATGGAGGCCTGCCCGCTTGTGAGCCACTTGTTGCTTGCATACCACATGCAGGAGGAATTAAAATCTGTGTGGCTCTTGATAATTCTTACTTGACTGAATGAGTGAACAAATACTTGAATCAATGAAAGAAATGGGTTTATCTGAAACAAAGGCTTTGAATCTGTTGATGAAGATCTTATATTCTAATCCAGTGAGAGTGGACCTTGGATTAAATCTTCAGAAAGTTAAACTCAGAACCCATTATTTTTTGGATTCTAGATTTTATATCAAGGATGTGCTCAATATTTCACAAGACTCAGAAGATCCTTGTGAAATGCAATAATATGTTCTTATTGATAGGCGTGGATACATCTAGGTACAAATTCATACAAACAAAATTTTATGGTTTCAATAAATTTTAATTATGATGAACACAAACTTTAAGTATAATGAGAGTAAAATCGTTAATCATATTTAAGGAATTTTCTTTCAAGAGATTAAATACCTAATTGTAAACATATTTCAGTTCTTTCAAATGCTAGCATTTCCAAAAAGATTTTAAAAACCTGTAAGAACACTGAAAAATTGAGAGCCCATTATCAGTTTATCCACCCCAGGAGAGAAGATGATTGTTCTTTGTCACGTTATGTTACTATTATATTATTATTTATTTACACTTTACACATCTAAGCAATCCTTAATTCTTTTAACTACTGTCTGGTAGGTATTATCATTTCTATTGTACAGATGAGAAAACTGAGATTCACGAAGTAACTTGTCCAGGTCACAATTCATCAGTGGAAGAAGCAGGATTCAAGCTAGGCCCATCTGGTTCCAAAACTTGCTTGGTTTCTACTGTGCAATCCTGTCTCTAGAGACAGCCAGACGGATGTCAGATGAATGAACACATACACATACACACACAAATAGCAAACTTCTCTCCTTCTATCCTAATCCAAAACCTTGTATTGACATCAAAAGCAGGCAAATACTATAATTATATAGGCAATCAAAAAATGCAACAAAAGTATACTCTGAATTGGCTAGAACATGGTTTATTGTTGTAATCCTGTAGCTGAATGCAGTCACCCCGCTGACTCGGGCTGTAATTGAGGCACGGTGGAACATTGGAAACTTCACGGTGGGTGGCTCCTTCCTCCTGCCTCTTCCTCTGTAGACATCACTGGGTGTTAGGAGCCCTTCCTCTCTGGAGGGTCCCCTTGCCTCTGTGGCCCAGTTTCTCTGACACCGTGTTTATTCCTATGATGACGGGCGGGGGGCACTTGATGCAACCATTTGCACTGGTGTCAATGGAACATAATGGAACAACTTCTCTCAGGCTTCTTCAAATGGTCTCTCTTCATTTCAAACTGCTACCAAGTATGTCACTACTAAATCGAAATTTCTAGGGAAAGAAATAAACCATATGCTGCTTTTCCCTTCAGCATATTTTAACCATATGGTGCTAGAAATGGGAATGTAACACTGCTAGTAATTCAGACTCCTCATGCTCCCAACACCACCATTCCCTCACTAATTAAAAAAAAATCCGCACTACCTGCCAGGAAAAATTGTCTTTGCCAAATAATTAAGGAGCAGCATTAGGAGGGAAAATTTCAGAAGCCCGAAAGGTGCACTTGTGAAGAAGTGGGCCCGGCCTGAGGACGCCACTCAAGACCGTAGTTCACACACTGAACTCCTGAGAGAATGCTCTCTGTGACTTAATTCTGAAACGAAACACAGCTCCCATGTCAGTGACACAGTACGCGTTGGTGTTAACACAAGCGCTAAGCCGGCAGCATCAAATTTCATTTGATTTACGTTTACTGAATACTTCAGAAGTGACAGGAGGTATTCCTGGCAACACCGCAAA